GGCAACTAGTATAGAACTTATATAGTAATGTGTAAGCGGACTACTTAAATTAGGCACCAAAAGTGCACGTGTGGCTAATTGTAATCTCCAATGTAAGGTGAGCCCTTGGTGGCATGTCGTGTCCTAATATACTTGAATAAAAACATTGCAACTCCCAAGATAGGGACTTTAAAAAAAAAATAAAATAAAATAAAATAAATGTTATATATATTATATGTATGATATTTTGCGCAATTATCATTAACCAATCAGATTGTAGCTTTCTTATTAATTTGGTTATCATATGGGCAGATTTTGGAAATTTAGTGATGTTTTCGAATAAGATCTACCAATCAGATAAACAAAAATGTGATTATTGCGAATTTGTCTTACACTAAGTTCACGTTTATTGGCTGCTTTATTTAGAAAATTGGTCACAATAGTAAAAGTGCTGTTTCTTTTTATGAAGCCCCAGAGTTTGTTTTTTAATATTGTGGCTTGAAAAACTCATATTTATGTTTAACAAGACCCGAAATTCAAAGATCCCAAAATAAATTTTCAAGATCCCAAAATAGGCATAACTTTTACTAGTAACAATGCCAAAGGGTTCACCACGTAAAAATATGGGACCATGTGCAGTATGTGGCAAGGACGACCTTGGAGAAAAGTTTCGCAAATTGACACCAAAGCTTTTGTCTAAGGCTATGCAAAGTGAAGCTGCTTCAAACTTAAAGATACAACTTAAATTAGATGACCAGCTATGTCATAAACATTATAGTGAGTTAGTAGTTTTTGATAGAAATCTTTCAAGCCCGTATAAAAGACGGAAATCTAGTATTGGTAAACATTACCAAGGTGACATAGACGCTCATAATGATGAAAAGAAGTCGTTTGAATGTTACTTAAAATCTTTTGGATGTAGAAATTCTAATGGAAAATTAAGTGTTGGGAAGTGCTATCAAAATGGCATAGGCCTTTCTAAAGACGAAAAAAAAGCATTCGAATGGTATATGAAATCTGCTAGTGATGGAAATTTAGATGGACAATTATATGTTGGAAATTTTTATCTAAATGGCATAAGCATATCTAAAGATGAGAAGAAAGCATTTGAATGGTACATGAAATCTGCTAGTGGTGGAAATTTAGATGGGCAATTAAATATTGGACATTGTTATCAAAATGGCATAAGCATTCCTAAAGATGAAAAAAAGCATTTGAATGGTATATGAAATCTGCTAGTGGCAGAAATTTAGATGGGCAATTAAATGTTGGACATTGTTATCGAGATGGTATGGGTATTCCTAAAGATGAAAAGAAAGCATTCAAATGGTACTTGAAATCTGTTAATGGCAGGAATTTAGATGGGCAATTAAATGTTGGAGATTGTTACCGATATGGTATAGGCACTCTTAAAGATGAAAAAAAAGCATGCGAGTGGTATTTGAAATCTGCTAATAGCAGGAATTCAGATGGGCAATTAGGTTTTCACCGAAGTAGCATAGTTCCTAGTAAACAAAATATAAAAAAGCGGCCTTTTTCAGATATACAATCAACAAGAGGGCAAGATAATCGTCTTTTTACTTTCGGCAAAGATTCTGAAAAAGGACTTTCAGAATTATTCACACGACATCAATTGATTACGGAAAATGAACAACCCATTTTTCATGTATATAACATTCAATTAGTGAATTTTGATCATGAAATTATTAATTTAAACTATCAGCCATTTAATAAAAAAATAGAACTTTCCAAATTGGATGCCATTGTTCGGGCATGTGATGAATCTTTGTTGTCCCAAGATGGGTATCGCCATTGGCTGCCGTGGAACCTCAGCTTATCCGTGAACATCATGTTGCTGCACGAAGAATAGAGATAACAGATCTAATTAATAAAGCAGTCAATATTATAACTTTTAATGTTGGTAGTAATATAAATAGTCAACCCCGTATTCAAGGTGAAGGAGCAGTATTCGATCAATGTGAAATTGAGAATGGTGTCTATAGATCAATTAGATCTATCTTAACTATCCTTCTTCCTATTTGGAAGCAATCCTCTCCACCTATACTTATCCCAGGAGATACTATTAAACTAAAACTCGGAGGTAATGGCCGTAATGTTGGTCGGAAGCAAAACCACGTAATGATGACTATTTGTCTTCTAAATGAAGGTAGAAAGGTTTTAGAACCTAATAATCAATATTGGTAAGTTTTATAATTTTAACTATATAGGCTAGGTGCTTAGAAAAGAGTTCAAATAAGATTTTTGGCAAATCGATTTTATGTTATAAATCTTATAATAGATTATAAAATTATCAATTTGGACTCTCTTCTCAGCACCTAGCCCATATAATATTTAATTATCAATATCAATTATCGATGTTAATTTAATTATTTCTATTTAAGCATTTGTTTGTATGTTGGATATGAAAAGTATGATGTGCTGGCAAATATCGGTCGTATATTTGAAGATGAGCTCTTTGACCTTAAGAATAATGGTTTTTTTGATAGCGATGGAGTTTGTTGGCCTGTAGAATTATATTTTTGCGGAGATTGGAAGTTCATGTACATAATTATGGGTTTAAATGCCCCAAATGCCAATTATTTCTGCCTATATTGTACTTGCGATATCGAATCGCGATGGGATATAGATCGGGTTTGAGAAAACATCAGAAATTTTAAATGTAAGAAAATTATACTCTTTATTAAAGTATTGTATATGAGTGTGTGAGAGTGAAAATCTGAAAACTGATCATAGTAAATCAGTAAATTGGTTTTCAGGTTTTCACTCTCAGTACTCATATAACTAATTTTGACAAGATGCAGGATTGATTTTACTACTCGAAAAATGAATGTTGCAAGCTTCTTTTATATTTGGGTAAGAGTTTAGGTTAAGGTTAGCAAAACCAATAATATAGATTGTGCAAAGAAATTTTTTTATTAAGACTTCAAAGATGGTTTACTAGACTAAGTTTTAAAATAATTGCAAAGCAAATATTTTTGAATTTCTTTACACTACACCTGATCCTTGAATAGCTGATAGACGTCAAAAAATTATGTGATAGCAAAATCGATCCTATGTTGGCACTGTTGAATATGACATTAATTTTAAAATTAATATTTAATTAGGTAAAAAAAAGCCATCTCTATTTCCCGCAATTGATCAAGAAAATTATATTCCTGATGAATTGCACTTACTTTTACGTATATCAGATGTTTTAATAGACTGTTTGTTTAATGATTTAATCAAAAAAAAGAATTTGAAAAACAAATTAAACCAGCAATTGAAGCAAAATTTAAGGAACTTTCAATTCAATTTAAATTTTTTAAATTCACGGGTAACAAATGGAATTGGACCTCATTGATGGGTTCAGATAAAAAAAAAATGCTAAAAAACTTTCCAGTATCGCAATTTATTTCTGGTACACAGGGAGAAGATATTGAACGATTGTGGCGTGAATTTTATCGATTATATAGTATTTTACGGCAATCACAACTTTCTGATCAAGAAATCTATCAATATAAAGTTGATGCAGAGAACTGGATTTGAACCTTTTGTCATCCATCTCAAGGTGATGTAAATTCTTCACAAAAATGCGGACTCTATCGAAAGTCAGATGTTACACCATATATGCATGTATTTGCAAAACATATACCTCTATTTATGCAGCAATTAAAGTCGAAGGATCTTTCTTTGAAAATTTTTTCTACATCGAGCATAGAAAAAAAAAATCATAAGCAGGTAAATTTACTTTGAATAAAATGGGCTAGGTGCTAAGAAAAGAACGAAATTGATTATTTTACAAAAAATTTTTTGATTTTAACTAATCTAAAATTAGCCTAAAATACTTTTTACTTAAGGAATAAGTACTATTTATTCCTCTAGACGGTAGGAATAATGAAATATTTCCTCAGTAACATATGTGAGGTGTCTTGCGCCCATAAGTGCACTGCTAGAGGAAGATTTTAATTATTTCCCCGATATGGCGGAATAAATGAGTTATTTAACGTCTCATATGATGATATGACAGGGACTTGTGTTACTAATTGTTTTTATCACAATTTTTTTTGTCTTTCTTTACATTTTAACTTTTTCATAAAAATAACAAAAGCCTGTTATCATTTTAGCTTTATTTGTTATTACTTCCGGGGAAATAACAAATAAGAAAAAAAAACAAAAAAATTTGTGATAAAAATTGTTATTAATAACATGCAAATTCCTATCATGCGGTCATAGTGAGACGGGAAATAAATGCTGTTATTTTAATAAAATTTTGCAGGATAATTCTTTTAAGGATTGGACCCAAGTAGAAATTGTTATTATACATAGGGATGTTAATCGGTCTTTTGGGATCGAATCCTAACTAGTTCTTACAAGAACCTGCAGGATTGGTAAGGATTCGGTCCTTAAACACATGAAAACACAATACATTTTATAGAACTTGGATCTTGAATTGAAATATGATAACAATTCAAAATTAATTTGATTAAATGAACTTATTCAATAGATTCAATTCAGGATCTGATACAGGATCTAAGTCCTATAAAATGTATTGTATTTTCATGTGATTTAAAGGATTGAGTCCAGGACTGTCTTTTTAGATCCTAGGATCAGACCAGACTGGATTCGCAATTTAACATCCCTAATTATACAATTACCTGAAATATATAATAACTTACTGGATAACTTGGGTAATTTAATAATACTCGAGTAGAGATTTTTTTAACGGGTTCAATCTCTAAATTCTTTAAAGTTTTTATTTTCTTATGTTATTATAGAACCTTTTTCTTTTTTTTTTTTTTTTTTAATCTTTGGCAGCCTTGCCGATCACCTTTATTAAGAGTCTTATATACATGCTTTGTACA